CATGTAAACCAAATAATTTACATGTATTTGTATTTTTTTTTTTTTTTTTAGCAAAGACATGTAGCAGAATACATTTTGGCCTAAATTTATGACGAAATTTGATTTTTATATTTTTTTACTGGACATGTTTAATAGCAGCACAGTGGCTAAATGGTTAGCACTTCAGCCTGGCAGTACTAGGGTCGTTGGTTCAAATCCCAGCCACGGCACCTCCTGCCTGGAGTTTGCATGTTCTCCCTGTGCCTGTGTGGATTTCCTCTGGGTACTCTGGTTTCCTCCAACACTCCAAAGACATGCTGGTAGGTTAATTGGCTCCTGTCTATATTGTCTCTAGTATGTGTATGTATGACTGTGAGTTAGGGACCTTAGATTGTGCACCCCTTGAGGGTTAGGGACTGATGTGAATGTACAATATATATGTAAAGCACTGCGTACATTGACGGCGCTATATAAGTACCTGAAATAAATAGTAAAAAATTGTTTTTTTTTCTCAAAATTGTTGGTCTTTTTTTTTACTTCCAGTGCAAAAACTAAAAACTGCACAAGCGATCAAATACCATCGAAAGAAAGCTCTATTTGTGGAAAAAAAGGGACGCAAACGTCATTAGGGTACAGCATTGCATGACCGCACAATTGTCAGTTAAAGTAACACAGCGCCATAATGCAAAAAATGGCCTGGTCAGGAAGGAGGATAAATTCTCTGATGGGCAAGTGGTTAAAGTGGACCTTTACGCCCATGCAAACGATAATAGACCCACCACTTATAACGTCCAGAATAGGATTTTAATAAAGTTCTCTAGAAAACTGACAAAGCATTTTGGGGGCTCAGAACACTACCTCTTTATTAGGGCTTCTATATTGCAGATAGCTGAGAAGAGCCGCTCACAGGAATGACTTCATTGCTGTGTCATCCCTATAATATTCTATGGCTGAGGAGGCAGCAGAGGTTTGGGTGGTTATACTGAAAAGAAGTAATCCCAATGATTGTGCCAGAGTCCTCTCTGCTATATGCAATATACCAGCCCAGATCATGCCCCCATCATCAGGGCTGGTATATTGCATATAGCAGAGAGGACTCTGGCACAATCCTTGGGATTACTTCTTTTCAGTATAACCACCCAAACCTCTGGGGTTTAGGCCCCTGAAACTTGTTGGGTTTTTTTTATGGTGCGTTTGTTTAAATCGTATTCTGAACATTATCAATGGCACTTTTATTCTTTATTGTATTTGAAGAAATCTGACAGGTGTTCCAGCCTTTCCATACTCTGCTGATGAAAAGCATTTATAATTCTGACTGTGTTGCTGTAGTGAATTCCTCCCATCCTGTCTGGTGAAACATTGTCAGCAGGATAGCAGGGAAGGTAGGATAGCAGGATAACTGTGAAATCAGGGGCTCAAACCCTTCCACACCCTATCCAAAAGTCAGAATATAATATTTGGCTGCACATACACTTTAAAATTTGAATAAGGGATATGGTGGACAGGATTGCATTGATCTACTGGTGTATCAACAATTATATGTTTCAGCCCCATCTCCAGATTGGATCTTCCTTACATGGATTTATGAATTAGCTCTGTTGAAAGTGAAAGACAAGATTTAAGCTGGATAACTCTGGCATCTAGTGGCCCTAATTGGTAATGCATGTACATATTTGCTATTGGACAATACAATCCGGTTCTTGTAGAGTGGATTAAAATAGGCAGAAATAACTCCTAACCAAATACCAATTAGGTGCTAGAGCACTGCGCATTATTACCAACTGCCATTTTTTAAAATAAAATACTTGTTTTCACTTTTTTTTTGTTTTTAAACCCTGTTTTGCATTTCATTGCTGCTGATTTACCCCCTTCATGACAAGGTCATTTTTTTGCTATTCAGCACTGTGCTACTTTAACTGGCAATTGCATGGCCATGCAATGCTGTACCCAAATGAAATTAATATTTATATAATTTCCCCCATAAATAGAGATTTCTTTTGGTGGTATTTGATCACCACTGTGTTTTTTATTTTTATTATATAAACGAAAAAAGACAAAACATTTCGAAAAACAAAAAACTGTATTTTTTACTTTCTGCTATAAAATATATCTTCAGAAATTAATTAACATTTCTTCATAAATTAAGGTCAAAATGTATTCTGCTACATGTCTTTGGTTAAAAAAAAATCCCAAAAATTGTATATTAATTGGTTTGCGTGAACGTTATAGCATTTAAAAACTATGGTATATACCAGGGGTATTGAATTAAAATTCAAGGAGGTCCGGTAACTAAAGGTCTGAATCTCACGTTTGTGCTATGACTCAGAAAGATTTTAGTCACTGTATGCCTTTCACAAAATGAGAAATGTACAATTTGTAACAACTTATATTGGGTTTCCCCATCAGAGTGTCCCATTAGGTAATGGGTTCCTATCAGAGTGCAACCTTACATCAGGTATACCTGTCAGAGCACCACCTAATCTCTGGTGTCACCCGTCAGTATGCCCCCTTACATCATTTGTCCCTATCAGAGTGCCCCATTATATAAAGTTCCCCAATCACAGTGACCCCTTACATAGGGTGTTCCCATCAGAGTGCCCCCTTACATTAGTTGTTGCCATCAGAGTGCTCCTTTACTTCAGATGTTCCCATCACAGTGCCACCTTATATCAGGTATTCCCATCAGAGTGCCCACTTACATCAGGTGTCTCCATCAGAGTGCCCACTTACATCAGGTGTCTCCATCAGAGTGCCCACTTACATCAAGTATCCTCATCACATCAATTTTCCTCATCAGAGTGTCCCATTTATATCAGTTGTGCCCATCAAAGTGCCCCTTTCTACAATATGCGCCCATAAGCGTGCCCCCTTAAACTAAAATACTCATCAGTGTGTCCCCCTATTTTATGCTAAGGGGCATGCTAATGGAAACTTTATGTTAGGGGGCACGCTGATGGACACATTTAATGTTAAGGGGCATGCTGATGGGCACATTTTGTAAAATGTGTGGGCATAAAATGTGTCCATCAGTGTGCCCCTTAACATGAAGTGTCCATCAGAGTGCCCCTTAACATTAAGTGTCCACGAGTGTGCCCCTTAACATTAAGTGTCCACGAGTGTGCCCCTTAACAAAGTGTCCATCAGTGTTCCCCTTTACAAAGTGTCCATCAGTGTTCCCCTTTACAAAGTGTCCATCAGTGTTCCCCTTTACAAAGTGTCCATCAGTGTGCCCCTTAACAAAGTGTCCATCAGTGTGCCCCTTAACAAAGTGTCCATCAGTGTTCCCTTAACAAAGTGTCCATCAGTGTTCCCCTTAACAAAGTGTCCATCAGTGTGCCCCTTAACAAAGTGTCCATCAGTGTGCCCCTTAACAAAGTGTCCATCAGTGTTCCCCTTTACAAAGTGTCCATCAGTGTTCCCCTTTACAAAGTGTCCATCAGTATTCCCCTTTACAAAGTGTCCATCAGTGTGCCCCTTTACAAAGTGTCCATCAGTGTGCCCCTTAACAAAGTGTCCATCAGTGTGCCCCTTTACAAAGTGTCCATCAGTGTTCCCCTTTACAAAGTGTCCATCAGTGTGCCCCTTTACAAAGTGTCCATCAGTGTTCCCCTTTACAAAGTGTCCATCAGTGTGCCCCTTTACAAAGTGTCCATCAGTGTGCCCCTTAACAAAGTGTCCATCAGTGTGCCCCTTAACAAAGTGTCTATCAGTGTGCCCCTTAACAAAGTGTCCATCAGTGTGCCCCTTAACAAAGTGTCCATCAACGTGTCCCTTAACAAAGTGTCCATCAGTGTGCCCCTTAACAAAGTGTCCATCAACGTGTCCCTTAACAAAGTGTCCATCAGTGTTCCCCTTAACAAAGTGTCCATCAGTGTGCCCCTTAACAAAGTGTCCATCAGTGTGCCCCTTTACAAAGTGTCCATCAGTGTTCCCCTTAACAAAGTGTCCATCAGTGTGCCCCTTTACAAAGTGTCCACAAGTGTTCCCCTTAACAAAGTGTCCATCAGTGTGCCCCTTTACAAAGTGTCCATCAGTGTTCCCCTTAACAAAGTGTCCATCAGTGTGCCCCTTTACAAAGTGTCCACAAGTGTTCCCCTTAACAAAGTGTCCATCAGTGTGCCCCTTTAAAAGTGTCCATCAGTGTTCCCCTTAACAAAGTGTCCATCAGTGTGCCCTTAACAATGTGAGTAAATGATAGAGGGGTGGAGTCTGTGATCTCTGGAGGGGCTGCCTGCAGTTCTCCCGCGCTGGGCAGTGACAGACAGCCGAGGAGAAGGACACTGATCAGACTGCATTGAATTGATGGGCATTGGTGAGACTGCATTAATGGACACTGATCAGACTGCATTGATGGGCATTGGTGAGGCTGCATTAATGGACACTGATCAGACTGCATTGATGGGCATTGGTGAGGCTGCATTAATGGACACTGATTAGACTGCATTGATGGGCACTGGTGAGGCTGCATTGATGTGCACTGATCAGACTGCATTGATGGGCACTGGTGAGGCTGCATTGATGTGCACTGATCAGACTGCATTGATGGGCACTGGTGAGGCTGCATTAATGGCACTGATCATACTGCATTGATGGGCACTGGTGAGGCTGCATTAATGGACACTGATCAGACTGCATTGATGGGCATTGGTGAGGCTGCATTAATGGACACTGATCAGACTGCATTGATGGGCACTGGTGAGGCTGCATTGATGGACACTGGTGAGGCTGCATTGATGTGCACTGATCAGACTGCATTGATGGGCACTGATCAGACTGCATTGATGGGCACTGGTGAGGCTGCATTGATGGACACTAATCAGACTGCATTGATGGGCATTGGTGAGGCTGCATTAATGGACACTGATCAGACTGCATTGATGGGCACTGGTCAGGCTGCATTGATGGGCACTGGTGAGGCTGCATTGATGTGCACTGATCAGACTGCATTGATGGGCACTGATCAGACTGCATTGATGGGCACTGGTGAGGCTGCATTGATGGGCACTGGTGAGTCTGCATTGATGGGCACTGATCAGACTGCATTGATGGACACTGATCAGACTGCATTGATGGGCACTGGTGAGGCTGCATTGATGCACTGGTGAGGCTGCATTGATGGGCACTGATCAGACTGCATTGATGCGCAGTGCAGTCTGTATGTCTCTGTGTGGGCAAAGTTATTGCTGGTATATTGTTTTTGTAGCGCTGTATATATATATATATACATATATATATATATATATATATATATATATATATATATATATAGGTATTTTACTAATAGCAATTTTTTTTTAAAATATAGTCCGGCCCTCCAACGGTCTGAGGGACAGTGAACTGGCCCCCTGTTTAAAAAGTTTGAGGGCCCCTGCTCTTGAGCCAAAGCAAAAATGTAAATAAAACCACAATTTTTTTTCTTGTAAAAGCAGGAGACAGCTCTGTTGGACCCCTGTCATATTTTATTGCTGTCTTTGCCCAGTTGCAGATTTTTCCTTCCTACATGTCTTGTGAAATAAATATCAATAGGAGAGAAAAATACTCTCTAACAGTGCCCTGGATTTCTGCAACACTGCTACCTCCATCACACTTGCCAGCAATTCTCAGCTGTGAAAATGACAGCCAAGGTTTGCTTGCTGTGTAAATATAATAGTTGATGCTGTCAGAAAACAGAGCCGCTGGAACATAATATAAGCACTGCTCAGATGCCAAGAAGAAAGATACATTGTTACATTTGTATCTGCAAACCAAAGTTGCGAGCTTTGATCTGCATATGATGCCAGTTAGAGTACTCCAACATGAAACAAGTTTTTTATAAAAGATTTTTAAAAGTTTTTTTTCCCTTTCTTTGAAGTTTATTATTATACAGGATTTATATAGCGCCAACAGTTTGCACAGCACTTTACAATATAACGGGAGACAATACAGTTCAATAAAAGAGGGTTAGGAGCAGGGCCGGACTGACAACTCATCAACTCATGGGGCCCCCGGGCAATAGGGGATCATGGGGCCCCTGTGTCCTTGCCCAAACTCAAAAAAGCCTATGAAAAAGGTACCAGGGGCATCTCATGGGGCCCCCTACTGACCCCGGGCCCTCGGGCAGTGCCCGAGTTTCCAAATAGTCAGTCCGCCCCTGGTTAGGAGGGCCTTGCTCCTTGGAGTTTACAATCTAAGAGATATCAGGAGTAATCCTAATCAGCCCTGATTAACTCCTTCTTCCCTCTCTCCTCTTAAATTTTACTTTTCTGCTGATTTTTTTTTATTTCTAATTTCTAACCATTATTTTTTTTTTCCATTTTATTTGTTTTGTGTTATCGCATAGATAATAATAATATTAACTTGTACAAGACCAAAAAATAAATAAATAAAAATATTTATAAAGTAAAGTTCAGGAGTATAGCTGAGTGCACAAACCATTTCCCTTAAAGGGACCAGAACCCAAATATGGGTGACATATAGCACTCATCTAAGACCCATCCCCAGCATCCTGTACATATCCCCCCCCCCCCCACATCAAAACGGAGGTGTTGTAGGCACAATATGAGACCATACAATGTACCTCGGAGAGGGCATCAGCATTTTTTAACTGTCTCCCGGGTCTGTGTTCCATTACAAAGTTGAACTGGAGAGAAAGGAGCCATCTCATCACTCTGGCATTGGCCTGCTTGGTTTGTCTCATCCAGGTCAATGAAGCATGGTCACAACACAGGAAATTTCCTTCCTAGCAAAAAATACTGCAGAGAGTCCAGAGCCCATTTTATGGTGAGGCACTCTCGCTCTACCACAATGTAGTTTTTCCCAGCTGCTGCCAGTTTCCTACTGGGTGCTCTTCCCCTTTGATGACTTGAGACAGGACCACTCCTAAGCTCTCACTTGAGGCATGTGTCTGCACCACAAATTCCTTGAAAAAAATCAGGAGCCACAAGCACTGGATACTGGCACCAGTATGCCTTACGCTTCTGAAAAGCTTCCTCAGCCTCTGCATTCCACCCATTACTGACCTCCTACCTTTTGTTAAAGTAGAACTACAGCAAAACTTTTTTTTTTTTTGATAGGGCATGGGAGGGTTATAACCCCTGTCAGATTTTTTTCACCATCCCATTGTCCCATTGCAGAGATTTCCCTTCACATTCTGTCCCATACCCAAAGTGGAAGTGAGAGGAAATACCTGAAATTAAGGGAATATTTTGGGAACCACCCCGGCCACCAGAACTAGTGTCCCCTTTGGAAGATTTCCCATCCATTACTTTTCTGGGGAGAACCCAAAATTTTAGATTTTCTTTTACTTTCACTTTCAGTGATAATGGTAAACATTAGATCATCATTGCCCTGATGATCAGTGTGCCCTGATGATCAGTGTAGCTCCATCAGTGCCACCTGTCAGTGTCCATCAATGCCACCTGTTAGTGCCCGTCAATGCCACCTGCCAGTGCCCATCAGTGCCACATCAATGCCACATAACAGTGCCTATCAGTGCACATCAATGCCACATATCAGTGCCCATCTGAGCTGCCTTTCAATGCCACCTATCAGTGCCAGTCAGTGTCACCTATCAGTGCCAGTCAGTGATGCCTATCATTGCTGCCAATCAGTGCCACCTATCAGTGCCAGTCAGTGCCGCCTATCAGTGTGCATCAGTGCCACCTATCAGTGCCGCCTAACAGTGCCAGTCAGTGCAACCTAACAGTGCCAGTCAGTGCCACCTATCAGTGCCAGTCAGTGCAGCCTATTAGTGCCACCTATCAGTGCCATATATGAGTGCCGCCTATCAGTGCCCATCATTGCAGCCTATCAGTGCCCATCACTGCAGTCTCATTAGCGCACATCAGTGAATGAGAAAAATCACTTATTTACAAAATGTTATAGCGGAAACTACCGTCCTCACCTGCTCCGTCCTCACCTGCTCCGCCATCACCTGCTCCGCCCTCACCTGCTCCGTCCTCACCTGCTCCATCCAGCATGAGCAAAGGAGGCCCCCCGGCTTTGCAGTGATGGACATTGCACCTTGTCTACCCATTGCTGAGCAGGCAGTGGGAGGTGGTGCAGTCTGCCTCCTGCTCTCTCCTCAGCCAATGGGTGGAATCATCTTTTAAGTCCCTCCCTCCTGCCAACCTACTTTGAAGTCAGTCTGGGATGTATTTTAATACATGCTCAGGCGGGAGGGGAGAGCTTAGGGCTTTGGGGGGGCACAAGTAAAATCTGGGGGTGCTGTCCACCCAGCACTCCCCTAGATCTGGCCATGGGATATATGCATATACATACAGTATAGTGTATGTATTTAGTATATATATACTAAATACATGTACTATACTGTATATATAAACATATATGTCATGGCCGTAGGGGAAATACTATATATATATATATATATATATATATATATATATATATATATATATAGTATTTTATAGATGTTAGCTGACTCTAGAAATGACAGCGGGGTAGCCATGCTGGGGGGTCATTTCACTCTCTCACACTACAAGCCATTAATTGTGAATGGATATCTACTTTATTGACCATTCCTCCAGGTGTTTTCCTACCATACATGCATCTCTTTGTGCCTCTTAATTGAAATCTGTTTATTTTGTTTTTTTTACCTTGAATGGCCTCTTCCTGTTCCAAAAATTTTTGATCTGTTGTTTGAGGATGTGTTAAAAATGGGGCTGTGATTTTGTGGGTGTGGCTACAAATGGGAGCATCACTTTATAGGTGTGGTTAAAAATGGATATAGTCTGTAGGTTGTCTCTGATAGGCTAGCCTGTCTGACCAATATAGCTCAAAGTTGTGCGTTTTGCTAGTTTAGCCCACGGACAAACACTTCACTCAACTGCACAGCAGCAGCATAGTGGGGGAGCATCTGCTGAATGGAGGAATAGATTATCTGCAAAGATGCACCACATACTAACACATTGTGAAAAACTCACCTCTCAAAGGAAGCCCTCCAGCCGCGAGCTGTCATTGCTGCTGGGGCTTCCATATTCACCCATGTTCCTTCCAGGTTTGCGGGCTGCACGACAACATCATGCAGGAGTCACGATTGCAGCACTGCACTCTGCATTTGCGCAGGTGATGTCCTTGGTTATTACCAATGTGAATATCACCTAAACGGTGCCCATTTAGGAGATATGCATTGTACCTACAGACAAGCCTGCTTGTAAGCTCCACTTCACATACAGAGTTAACTACCGCTTTAACTTTTCTTTACCTTTGATTTACACACAAATAAAAAAGTAAATAGAATGAAACAATAGACTGATTCATTGTATTTATTCAATGACAGTTGCTGATGATCTGCAAATGTCATTTTGTGCAGATGCAGCTGCATTTTGACAGCCAGTCTTGCTGTGCATTACAAAGCAAATAACAGCTTCATTTTGACCCCTGCTAATTGCCACTAGTGGTAGCAGGGGATTAGCAGCAGGGGGCAAGGAGCTGGTTGTTAGAAATGAGTACAAACAAATGGTAACCACCCTAATCTGTAACTGGACTTTGCAGCAAGGGGCACATTGAAGGGCGACACATGTCAAAAAATGAAAAATTGGTAGGTCACTTACAAGCCAGCTTTCAACAAACCGAATTACCCTAACAGTTCACGTTAAAACAAGGGGTTTAGTTTGCACACATTTGCAAATACATGCGTAAGCTGTAGAAGCTACTTCATGGGACCCCAGTATATCTGTGGTCCTAACTCTATACATTTTGAGAACCTCCAAAGTTGGAGCACATATCTCTCCATTATTACATATGTGCTCCAACTTTGGAGGCTCTCAAAATTTATAGAGTTAGAACTGCAGATATACTGGATTGCCAAAAGTATTGGGCCAGCCCTCCAAATCATTGGATTTGGGTGTTCCAATCACCTCCATGGCCACAGGTGTATAAAATCAAACACCTATGCCTGTAGACTGCTTCTACAAACATTTGTGAAAGAATGGGTCGCTCTCAGGAGCTCAGTGAATGCAAGCGTGGTACCATGATAGGTTACTACCTGTGCAACAAGTCCATCAGTGAAATTTCCTTGCTACTAAGTATTCCACGATCAACTGTTAGTGGTATTATAACAAAGTGGAAGCAGCTGGGGACAACAGCAACTCAGCCATGAAGTGGTAGGCCACGTAAAATGACAGCGTGGGGTCAGCGTGAACAGAAGTTCTGTCTGCAGAGTCAATAGCTAAAGACCTCCAAACTTCGTGTGGCCTTCAGATTAAAACAACAACGATGTGTAGAGAGCTTCGTGGAATAGGTTTCAATGGCTGAGCAGCTGCATCCAAGCCTTACATCACCAAGTGCAATGCGGTACTTGCCTGACTGCATTTTGCCAAGTGTAAAGTTTGGTGGAGGGGGGATTATGGTGTGGGGTTGTTTTTCAAGGGTTGGGTTTGGCCCCTTTGTTCTGATGAAGGGAACTCTTAAGGTGTCAGCATACCAAGACATTTTGGACAATTTCATGCTCCCAACTTTGTTGGAACAGTTTGGGGATGGCCCCTTCTTGTTCCAACATAACAAAGCAAGGTCCATAAAGACATGGATGAACGAGTTTGGGGTGGAGGAACCTGACTGGCCTGAAGAGTCCTGACCTCAACCTGATAGAACACCTTTGGGATGAATTAGAGTGGAGACTGCGAGCCAGGCCTTCTCGTCCCACATCAGTGTCTGATCTCACAAATGCGCTTCTGGAAGAATGGTTAAACATTCCCATAGACACACTCCTATACTTTCCCAGAAGCTGTTATAGCTGCAAAGGGTGGACCAACTCAATATTGAACCCTACAGACTAAGATTGGGATGCCATTAAAGTTCATGTGTGTGTAAAGGCAGGCATACCAATACTTTTGGCAATATAGTGTATGCTGGGGTGCCATGAAGTGGCCTCTGAAGCTTGTATTTGCAAATGTGTGCAAACTAAACTCCTTGTTTTACTGTGAACTGTTAGACGGAGTAATTTGGTTTATTGCAGGCTGGCTGGTAAGCGAGCTGGGAATTTTTGTTTGTTGTTTTTTGACATGTTAGAACTGTGTCCTAAAATCTTGCTGAAGTTTTATTTAGGACATACCTGTATCTCTAATGTTCTAAATCCTGAAACGGTTAAAAATGAATGACCCTTTGTCCTGAAGTTTATGTCTGTCTTTGAGAGTCTCATCAATGGAACAGTAATTAAAGTATATTTTGTGGGTGGATGGACTGTGGCATAAGTGTGTAGTGAATAGGCTCACTTTTGGGTTAACCACGCCTTTATAAGACCACGGCCACTGCTCATTGCAATGTGGTCACAGAAACCATTCATCATAGTGCACTATATTTATGTTTAGAAAAATCCTGTTAAGGCCATACCTGTTTAAAGTAAGCTATACCTGCTGTGGCCGGATTTTTTTTTTGTTACTGTAAAGGTGGCAAGGGGGCTCCGGCAGCAAACATATAATTGATAAGAGTTTTATAAATTCCGTTTCTATCCAAAGCAAAAAAAAATAAGTTTTTGCTAGCTATCCACTTTAGTAAAGAAGATTGTTTTATTGTACCTTGCAGTACAGGCCTCATTGTCTCTACTGTGCTACCACTAGCTATTGGCCTAAACCTACAGGCTGCATAGGTATGTGTGCAAGATGAAAATGTATGCATATTGACCATAGCACAATGCAGAGAACATCTACTCAACATTGGCTGTGCTGGGATAATTGGATTATTTAGATGTCAGTTATCATAGAGTGCATACATGGCAAGCCAGAACAAAACCTCCCAAATTATAAATCTTGAGCCTGAATTTACAATATTGACCACTAGATGGAGACAAAGCTCATCTTATTGAAGCTAGGGAGAACTGATCAATATTTAATCAATATTTTTTTTTGTAATATTTTAGTCAAAAGGACTTGTAGAATTTCTGAAAGGAAAGTTATGTTTATAAGCACATGTGTGTCTTTCTTTTAGGTACTTATTTGTATTGCACTGTGTTGTAGGGGTGTTTGCATACACTATGTTATAACATAAAATGTATGTACAGTACATGATACTATATGTCCAAAAGTTTGTGAACATCTGACCATGACATCGTTTATACGGTCATAGGTATGTGGACACCCCTCCAGTTTATTGGGTTCAGCTGTTCCTGGTGAAGGGTGCTGTTAATTCTACAGAATACAAGATACAAGGGCATTGTAGATGATCATGTGCCTCCAACCTTGTGGTCACAGTTTCGGGAAGGCCCTTCTTTCTGTTCCAGTATGACTGCAGCCCTGTGTAGAAATATAGATCTCTATAGACGTGCTGGGACCAGCCTGATATGGAGGAACTCGATTGGCCTACACAGAACCCCAACCCTACTGAACATCTTTGGGATAAATTGGAACACTGATTGTTGACCAGATCTTCTAATCTAACATCAGTATCTGACCTCACAGATTTACTTTTAGCTGGATTAGTACAAATTCCAACAAACAGCCTCCAAAATCTGCTGTAAAGCCATTGCAGAAAAGTGGGGGCTGTAATAGCCACTAAAGATCCATAGTCTTGGAATGGGATATAGTTACATAGTTAGTCTGGCTGAAAAAAGACGAAAGTCCATCCAGTTCAACCATTAAAAAAAAAAAAAAAAGTTATAATCCTATACCCACAGTCAGGGGTGGACTGACAACTCATGGGGCCCCCGGGGCAATAGGGGATCATGGGGCCCCTGTGTCCTTGCCCAAACTCAGAAAAGCCTATGAAAAAGGTACCAGGGGCATCTCACGGGGCCCCCTACTGACCCCGGGCC